TTTATTCCACTCCGCTCGCCGACGGAGCCGTGCCAGATAGGCCGACAGGTCTCAGAGCCCGGCGTTACAAAACGCAAACGGTGTGGCCATCTCATTCTGCTAATAACATACACGACCCGCAAAGTCTAGCCGGCGCCGGCCCCCGTCTAAGAAAATGGGTCACAAGGTCACATGGGAGCTTATTTAACAAACCTGGTCCCCAGCGGTGGAAAAGGTTAATATAATACAGAAGACCCAAAAAAAAAAGAGAAAAGACTGGGGATTATGTGCTTCTATCAATCTCAGTTTCTTTAGGTAGTGGAGTAAAAACAGGCAGAGTTCACTGGGCCCACATCTCTGTGGCCACTGCTAAGTCAACCCATCGCGTGGTTACATCTCGACACACATTCAGAGGCGGAAAGGAATCCGACTTTGCCCATCGCAAGAGCGAAGGCATCTATCCTTTTCTTCATTTACAAAAAGCAGGAGAACGTAATTTACATACTTATGAGCTCGTTGCCTGTATCTAATGCACTCAGAGAAATAAGACGAGGTTATATACTTATAGGTATAAGAAGCATACTAAGAGATCTTGTCTTGGCGGATGTTTTATTTATTTTCTTTCATTCCAGAATGTGCGAGGGAAGGGTTATGAGATAGAGGCTGTCCACTCCTTGTTTCCATTTCCTGACATACGGAGCCTTTTAACAGAATATGACTTTGTTTGTGGTATAACTGATAATGTGAATATAACACTATGCATATGTGACTGCTTTATTATAAGCATTTTGTCAGTCACTGTGATGTGGATTCGGGGTTAGAAAATTATTTTGATGAATGGATGGATGGATGGATGGATGGATAAACATTTTGATAACTGCAAAGAATCCCAGTGACATCCATCCTTCTCACTTAAATAAATGCTTAACCAAACCAGTACAGGATCACAAGAAGTTTGAAGCACATTGCAGCAGTGTGGCATGTGTGAGATGTCATTGCAGGGCATGCACCCCCCCCCCCCACACACACACACATTTGTATCGATATGTTTCATCTCTTCATTCATAACCGTAACTATGACAACCTTAACCATAAGTAACCAAGCAGAATACAAAACTTCTTTGTTTAGTTGTTTGAATGCAGTCGCTGATTTTTTTATAAAACTGAGCTTCCCCTTGTGGGGACTGAAAAGGTGGCCCCAACGTCAAAATCACAATATTATATTGTGAGGACATTTGGTCCCTAGAATCAAATATATACATAACCCACACTCAGACGCAGACACACACACACACATACACACAGGATATGCAATATCCATAACTCTGCCTTACTCTCCCAGCCGCACGCAGACACATGCAAACTCAACATACACATATCCCAGGCAAGTGCTGAACCCCCCCCAACCCACCGCGTTGCCATGCAAAAAAATAAAATCCTTTAAAAATATACTACAGAAAAAACTACACTGAAACACAGCCTATCCGCCCTGCACAGACTTAGCAAATGATCCACACCTAGGACTATAATATTTAGAACTGGACAAGTACAAAAGCAAGGTGTAATTTTCCCACCTCCCAAGTCGAGATGGCGATCCAGAGCAGAGAAACGAGCGGCTCAGAAGAACGAGGGCAAATCTGGCCACATGTGGCCACTGTCAAAGCGCCCCACTGCATCAGCAGAATTCTTATTTGTTGTGGGTATGAACAAAGAGGTGAAATACATTTTCTTTCAATCTATAACTGTGATGGTGGACTGTGATTGCTTGACAAAGACTTTCCTGGGCCCCTCAGACTATCTCTTCTGGAATAAAAGGAGCCATACTTTCATAGCTATCTGCAAAAGCAGGTCACATTCTGCACATTTTTCCTTTTACTATTTTTTTTCTCATACATGATGAGTTTTATTTTGAAGCAATGAAAAAAGAACGCTCTTTTAACAGCTAGCTAAACTCGCAGTCCACGTTTGTCCGTTAACGATTATTTAATAAATTAATTTACTTTATTTAAGCACGTTAGCTTCCCAGTCAGGTGTTACCTCAAACACAAAACACCAGAGGGCAGGGGTGATAGCCGATGTGGGGCGGCAGTGGTGTTTAACAGCGCTCCAACCTTGCCCCCTGTTGGCCACAAACAGTCACTACACCTAAGGGGCCCCGAAGAGACTTTCGAGTGGGACCCCAGAAATAACCAACCTGCCCCTGATGCAGGGACTCCGCAGACCGATGACACGGAGTGCCTCCACAGATCAAAGACGCCCCAACGGCAGGACAGTGCAGACAACATCTTCGCCTCTCGAGTAGAGGAACGAATCAGGCTGGCGGATTCTGTTTTCCTTAAAGCCACTGTCAGCCCTAACAGCCTCTTCACTAGGTACGTCGAACGAAGCCTCTCGGCCCATTCCCTGGACGACACCACGCAATCACTGAGAGGTTTGACCCATGATGGCGACCGGGGAGGAGACAAGAAACCACAAAAAGTGACTCCCTCCAGCTCCAGGACTTGTTCGCTATGCCCCCATTATAATAATTATGCGCCCAAAGCTGCGTCTCACTCCGAGAGGAGCTTCCACCTGTCACTATGCGAAAAGCATTAATCACCATGATCTATAGGAAGAGGCCAGATATAATTTGTCCTTCAGCGCTTTGTAAAGTGCACTAATGGGAATAAACATAGCCACAGGTGAAAGATGAGAGCAGTCTTCATATCAGTGATATATGCTTCCATAATAGCACGAGAAGCCAAACCAGTTTCAATACGCCCCAAATGATATAAGACCTTTGCATTTTTTTCCCATAATGCTTTTCACATATCTTGACCCGCGGCTGCTAACGCTGTAGCTAATGTTTTAAGAATGCGGCTCCCTGAGTGTCAGCATTAAGCATCGTATTCTTGTGTGTTGCTGCCATAAGGAGGCATGATAATCCTTAGCCAACTCTTGCCCTACAAAGCCAGCTCAACATGTCATCATCGATAACACCCAACCCACTCCTCGCTCAAGGCTCTGGACTCAAGAAAACCTGTGCAATGCAGTGCAACCAACAAAACACAGCTGCAATTAGGAAAACAGGGGGGACAAAATACCCTTGAGCTGATATGCTGCTGTATCAAAATTCCTGAAGCATAGAAAGTGGCTGTTTAGCATTCCGGAATCTGACAGTTAATTTTCTGTTGTTAGGTCTATTGATTGCCTCTCAGAAATCTGCCTGATAGATACCATTGCCATCCTGCACGGAGCGAGCCGTTGTTCACCGTTTAATTTTTTTCTGCAGCATCTAATCTTTAATCAGACACTAAACGGCGGAGGGGAAATCGACACATTCTCCCATTCCTTGATGAACACCTTCCATCGGAGTCTTTATCGTGTTTCATTTGTCAGTAACATATGAAGGCTGTCAAGTCACAAAACAGGTAAAAATAACTGTCCTTTCAGGGTTGCTGTCATCATTGTATCCCTGTTTAAGAAACAATGTGTTTACTGCATAAATAGCAGAGCAGACTCTGAACCTGAGATGTGGCTGAAAGCCAATTAGCAATTAAACATGCATCCTGAATAACTATACATGAAAACAACTTTTTGTCAACATGATGCTTTTTTTTCTGTAGTCTAGTAAACTAATAAATTATCCTCAAAGAAGCTATGTGACAGTTTCTTAGGGTTACCGTATCAGGAAACCACATGAGACTATGTTTCCTTTATTATCCTGTGCATAAATTACCTCAGCGTTTCTCAATCCGGTCCTCGGAGACCCCAGACGGTCCATGTTTTTGCTCCCTTCCAGCTCCCTGCCAGACAGTTCACATTTTTGCTGCCTCTCAGCTCCCATGCTGGAGCGGGGAATGAGCAGAAACGAGGACTTTGGGGGTCCCCGAGGACCGGCTTGAGGAACACTGAACTACATTAATTTCAACACTTCTTCAGTAACTCCCCGATCAGGAAAAGCGACATAAACAACAAAAAAAACTCCATATTTTAATAAGGAGATTTTTTTTTGTACTCAACAGCTCCTCATTCCTTGTTAAAGCTCCTTACTCACAAAAGAAATGTTCTCCCTATTTTCTCACATTTTCTGTGAGTTTAGCACCATCAGAAGGAGAAATAACAGAGGCTTTCATTAATCAAAAGGCTTTTGTGTTTTTATTGAGTGCAGGCATTCAGAATCGATGTGGATCCTCTCCAGATGACCGGCTTACACTCATTTACAGTCTAAAGTGGCCCCAGCTGCCATTTCTGCTTGCGCCTGTAAGGTTTTTCTGTGTTTTGGTCCTAGCAAGAGGCCACATCGTTAGCGACCTTAAAGAAACTCTCCCCGGGACTGGGCCTTATCCCTGTGAGAAGCAGAATCGTGGCCCAGATTCTTCAGACACACGTCTGCGCTAACGATACCAACAGAGGTCTCAAACAACCACTTTGTGCAGTTTAGCTACCTACACGTATTGCAATACTCACACAGCCCACTGGGGGGCTTATGCTAATGCGATCATTTCAGGGTAAATATTTCATTCCGCATACCACTCACCAAACATACAGCACCGTTAAATGAAAGCTGTCAGAAAGTGCATTGGGCTGCAGCCTTATAACTACGACACACTGTTTCCATCAGCAGTTCCTGCTTGGTGCACCATCGCAGGGATCTCCAACTCCAGTCCTGGAGAACTACTCTCCAGTAGGTTTTCTATCCTGCTTGACTTCTGATGAGCCACACATGATCCTGGTATTTACCTGACAACAGGTGTGGGTCGTCAGAAACCAGGCAGGATAGAAAACCTACTGTATAGTAGCTCTGTAGGACCGGAGTTGGAGAACTACATACAAAACTCAACACGTAACGCTTGCTGCCACCTTAACACATGGTCAAACAGTCGACGGACTCAATTTCCCACAATGCACTGCAAACAGAAACTACGGTAGATCACAAAGTTCATCATGTGCCACAAATGTTATCACGACCTTCATCCCTGTCATTATTATTGACCCTAATTTCATGCGCCACACCCCCCTACCATGAAGAGCAGGCCTACCTTTGTAGAAGCACTCCTCGCCGTGCACCACGGAGATCCTGAGCTTCTTCAGGCAGGCAGCACGGTGCAGCTCGCAGTGGTTCTCGTAGAGGCTGCCGTCGGAGCCGCACACGGGCTTGTAATGCGGCCTGCAGTGCCGCATGCACGCGCATTCTCCCCGGCCCGTGTCGCGGTCGACGACGCAGTGCCTTCCCAGGCCGCAGTATTTATGCTCGCAGGGTCCCGGGTGTCCGTCGTGCTCCAGAGAACCTGGAACGACAAGCTCTTATTATGGGGGATTCCCTGTTGATAATGGACGCCGTTAGCAGACGCTTTAAAGCACAAGACTAAGGAAGCACTATTTCTTTGCATGAAAAGCAGATGGTAGGAGGCCAGCACCATAATTACACATCTACATCCACATTACACATCTACATTCAGAGTTACACATCAAGAGCGTGTTTTTATTTTTTACATGTGTTTATGCAAAGTGACGTACATTTTTTTTGGGAAAACATTATTTTATCAGATGGTCTATAGGGACCACTGGGGAGGGGGGTTCCATCAATCTGCTGACAGTGGGATTCGAACCAGCAACCTTCCAATCACAAGCCCAACAGCCTAACCTGCTGAACCACACACCATCTCTGCGGCATAACACGTATGAGGCCAGATTTAAAACTAAATCCAGTACAGGGTCATAGCGAGACTGGAGCCTATTCCATAACGTGCGCTCATGGGAGTTTTACTTACACAAAAACGTTCTAAGGGCAGAATGAAAAATGATTGGTTCAGAGATAACCAGTCAAATTGTAGAGGAAGTGGGAGGAAGCAAGTAGCGGAGGTGGGAACAAGTAATCAGATGTCTTGGTCCCGCCTTCTCCAGTTGCTCCTCCACAATCTGATTGGTTATCTCTCTGAGCCAGTCATTTTCCATTAGAACATTTTTGTGTAAGCAAAACTCCCACGAGCAAGAAATGTGAGCGAGAGGGCACCCAGGACGAGCTGGCAGTCCATCTCAGGACCCACACACTCGCACGCACAATGGACATTTTAGCAGTTTCTGGTAGTGCTGACTTTGATGGCTAATGCTACACATGTTCTCCAGATTGCATCTGTGTCTTAAGCTTCGCCTGCCCTTTGCATGGCATTTAACGGTAGCTGGTGTTCACACCTGCCACTTTTATACGCCTCTGTAAGCACAGGTGTTTTAAGACCCGGAAATTTAGGCTGCTGAATGGCCCCGCATAAAACCACAGCTCAGCCTCGAACAAAGAAAGGTGTGAGGTATATTTCTGTAACGTGTTCATATTTCTGGAAGGTAGAGCAAAATTAAAATGTGCTCTTACCACCATGGAGGCGCACAAACAATGTGCAATATTTCCATAATTAGATAAGAGATAAGAATGTAAATTTTACAAAGATATTGGTACAGGTAGAGTCCATTTTTTAAAATAAATGCCATATAATCTTTGCATATTGAATAGTTCTACAGTGCTGAAAATAAAATAGAGTAACATCTTTGCTGAAACTCAGCTCCTGTCAGGTCAGGTCAGGTTGGGGGGTATGCACTGGTAAAGTGATTTGCTGCACCCACTAGACAAGTAAACACCTTGGGATCCCAGTCGGCCACCCCCCAGGCTGACAGGCGGTCTAGTCCCACCCTCCGGAAATGGTCGTCTCTGTGCCGCAGCCAGGTGTTATGTGGGCGTCCCCTTGTCCTGGTCCGGCCACTCGGGTTCTCAGCAACTGACGTTCCCTCCCAATGCAGGTAACGTACCTCATTCTGTACTCCCTTGAACAGCCGCTTGTTCGACACAAAGTCAAACTAGCGGCAGCCAAGGATACTCTAAAGAGACAGGGTACGACAGGAGTCTAGTCTTCGTCTCAGGTCACTGGATAGCGTTCATGTCTCGCAGCCATATAGCAAAACACCAGGACTCTAAAAAAAAAAGTCTTCGTCCTCTTACAAAGATATCGGGAGCACCAAACAACCCTTTCCAGTGACCTCATGACCCCCCCCATGCTCTCCCAATCCATCTACTGACTTCATAGGAAGTGTCACCAGAGACAGGAATGTCGTTGCTGAGATAAGTGAACCTCTCGATAAGGTTGACATTCTATCTGCAGACAGACCCACTGCTGATGGCTGTGTGCAACAGGTCATTAAAGGCCCGAATCTTGGTTTTTATCCAGGACACTCACAAGCCCAGACACTCAGACTCCCCTCTCGGTCTCTCGAGAGCCCCGATCAGAGCCTCCGCTGACTCCGCGAAGATCACAGCGTCGTCGGCAAAGTCAAGATCAGTGAGTCTTTCTTCACCAACAGATGCCCCACAGCCCTGCCCGATACCCAGTCCACGCAAGCGGGAACACACCCCCGACAAACCCCAGAGTCAACTGGGAAGGATGCAGAGGGTCGGCCTGCACTCCGCACAGCCCTACAGTAGCAGTGCACATGCCGGCCGTGACGTCCAGCAGCTCGGGGGGGGGGGGGCGGGGGTCCTGTGAAGTATTTCTCTTTTTTCCTTGAAAACAAAGGACCGTGGGATCGCTTATCTTCAAGCAAAAAAAGAAAAAACATTAAATACCTAGACAACAAAAGCGCTGTTTCAGGGTCTACCATTTCAGCGCGTTCCTCATACACAGACGCTAGGTTACAAAGTCACCCGCAACATTCTCCTGACTTGCTGTCACCTCGCCAGTGCACTGACTGTATTATACTGAGTGCTGCACATGCAGTACAGTCATACATTCAGATATTTCATATTCAATACATAATTATGTTTTCTTGTAGTTGGAATTTCACATTTCTGCAGTTTTCTAAGCCCGAGGACATGAACCAGAAGAAACACATACCTATGGCCCTGAATACTGATTCTGAGATACTACTACTACTATACTACAACTACTACTACTAATGCAACACAACTACTACTGATACTAATATGACGACTACTAATACTAATATGACGACTACTACTAATAGTAATACTCCAGCTACTAGTACTAATTTCACTATTACTAATAAAACTATTACTACTACTACTACTACTACTACTACTATAATAATAATAGTAATAATAGTAATAATAATAATAATCATCATCATCATCATCATCATCATCATCATCATCATCATCGACATCATATACTTAAATATATTTCTTGAACTGGATATAGATGTTATTTTAAAATTAATAAAAGGCTACAATGAGATTGTATTTCATATAAGTCATGGGTGATGAACCAGGCATGTGTATAGGAAAGCCAATCATACGATAAAATATGTGTCCCTTAATTAATATCGTTTCCTTCCATGTTTCCTGCTTATTAAAAGCCACCGTGTCTCTCCTTCCCTCTAGTTGTTGTTTTGTACACCAGCGTACAAGACCTGACCTGCCCGGCATTTCCATAATGGCCGCACCGTGCTCACCGGGGAACCGGACACACACAGCTGTAAGCGGAGCTCAGCACCTTCCCACAGTCATTCGCTGTCCCGGAACAGCCGACCGTAGCATGTAAGCACACGCGTGCTTGTGTGTGCGTGCATTCGCCGATTCACTGGTCAAGATTCAGAATTTAAGCCACCTATGTGTTTAATTTAAAAAAAAAAAAGTCAGAATCATGAAAAATAGCTACATGCTTACATATAATTCAGGAGACTTAAAATCAGTGCACATACTAACAAGGAAGTTAGACAATAAACATAAATATAATAAATAAATATACCTGAATTAGATCACCGTCTGCATCGCAGTATGAAAGTACATCTTTCCCGTGTTAGAAATACAGCAACAATTTTCATGAAACTGGGACAATATGTAAAATATTTTTTAAATCTAATTCATTGTATGTAGAACGATTCTGTAAAATATGTCCTCGCGGCGAGCTTGCGGATTTATTAAAAAATGTGAGGTTCGTTTCATTTCTGCGGAGTTTCTGCTTGCCGGAACATCTCATTTGAATACTTCACAATCAGATTAGCAGCTGGAGCAGCGGAGGGCTCATTGACTCGCCCAAATTGAAATGCATCCCTCATAGTGTCAGGCCGCGCGGCCCTGTTTATCAGGCTAGCCATGCTCCGCTAATTGTAAACTCATCCAATGCGCCTGCAGCTTATTCACTTTGCAATAAGCCATCGGAGTTATTTATTCATTTGGGGGCACATGCTCTGATTTGTAGACACTTAGAAAGTAAATACGGGCATTTCATGACAGGGGCGGGGCCACGGGGGGCACTGGCCCCGGCTGAAAGCTGATTGGTCCCCGGAGTGCCCCTCCCACTTCACTCTCTGATTCGAAACGTATCATTGATTAATAAGATTGGCCCCTCCTTATAAATTACCGCGTTTCATATCCTCTCAACCTTAAAAATTCCTATAATTACCCCTATTCCACAGTGTCTGTGATATTAAGACAGTGATTTTGCATTTTTTCCCCCTTGTTATATTTTGCTTCCTTAATGTTATGCACTGCAGAACTGGAATATCACTTATTACTGCCTCTTTGAAAACACGAGCCAAACTCTAGGAATATCTGACTACCATTTTTTTTTTTTTTTTTACAAAACATGGACCTTATAATTAGTTAACTGTAACTATAGACTTGGTTGGTTTTCTATCCTGTGAGAAATTCCTCAGACAGCTAAGGCCAAAAGTGCATGTTTTAAGTAGCTATTAACAGAAATATTAATTTTAGACATGTCACAAGGCAGCAGAATGGAACTACAAAGACTACAAAAGAAGAAAAAGCTACTGAAATCTATTTATAACCATTCTGTTTTCCTAAAAGAGCAAACACGTTAATACTGTTGCATTGAGTACAATTACATCTACAAAAAAGCTAAAACTGCAGTATATTTGTTCATTGCTGGGTATTTTTCGGATATTGCTATGGCTACAGTGTTTACGGCATTAAGACCATAATATTAACAATTACAATTACATACAAAAGCTCAGATTCAGTCTTAAATTCATTATAAATCTTTGGCTTCAGAACTGGCTGGGAAAAGTGTCATACACGAGACAAAAAAAATAGTAACCATAAAATAGTAAATAGGGCAAAAAAGTTAGTTTCCGGTACAGTTATATTTGCTGTTCTGTGTTTGCAATATACAGTGTAAATCTCACAACATGTTCCAAATAACACCCGAAGCGCTAAATATCGTTACACGCGTGCCCTGCTTATGCATGAATATTCAGCGGATGCTAATATTGACTTTTCCGGGAAGCCGGAGAGCGCTGTCCTCCGCGTGGCGCGACATATTTGCATTTCCTCTATGCGTGAAAGCTGGCGCTGGAGTCATAGCTGGCCGCCCGTCACCTACATCCTTGCACGACCTTTTAACAGCTGCCAGGAGGTTAGTGGAAGGAGCAACCTGTCAGCGATAAAGCCGCGCGCGATGCGAAGGGCCAGGCGTCACCTCGTTTGTCCCTGCGGATGCGCATATCGCCAGAAACCGAAGGAAAAATTGCGAGTATTGCTGAATGTAAAGTGAGGTCCCCGATCTCACTGTTATGGAAGGACACCAGCATGGCCTGCGCTACCCAGAAAAACTGCATGGAAATCAGATGACTAGTGCACGGCAGAAATATTGTACCTCCAAAATTAGAGAAGTTTGAAGACTGAAATCCATTCGGATGCACTATATTTTTCTGGACTGTAATATATCCACAGTCTTGTGCCTCAGGGCGTAAAATATATATGATGTACAGCACGAGCGTAACACATGCATAAATGCATGAAGATCCGGCAAAAGACCAATAATAATAATAATAATAATAACAACAACATTAAACAAATAAAGCAAACAATATTGCTATAATAGTTTGTAATTGAAAGTACGCTATTTATGTTTTATTTATGTGCTTGCAAAACGTTTCAATGTCATGAATAACTATTAATAAGGTAATACAGTTTGTTAAACACACTTTAAATTTGGCAACAACTCAAATTAAGACAGAGTGGACGCATTAGGACACAATATAGATTGCAGTTATGCAAAATTTATATGAAAGCTAAAGTTATAAACAGACGTTAAGACTTAATCGGCTGTTGCTTTAATGCAGTATAGAATTAAACAGTAACACGGCGGTTTATAACCTAACCGTGCGCGTGTAACGATGGCGCTTAGCCTGAATCGAAATCATCGTTGTTTAATCTTCTTATCATAAAATCCTTTATCGCTGCAGAGAAGTTAATACTGTATGAGGTACCCCCTCCCGATCCTTCTATCTCAAATCTAAAAACCCCACAGGTGTTTTCTTTGATGTGAATGTAAAATGGGGACAGGTACTTTATACTTTCCAAAAAGTAACTGGGACATGAGCAAAGCAAAATGAAAGAACTGCAAGTCATTTGCTTGTCGCGTGTTGTGAAAGTGCTCGTTTGTGCTCTCCATATTTAATATAATAATTCAAACAAACAAATAAATAAACAAATGCTAACCTTTTATATAATCCGCAGCAGTGTAGGGCCTTTGTGATTTGGGGATACCCTGTTGTCTCACACACTACATTAAATATTTAAATGCCTTCTTTGCGAAAGAGTTGCTGAGGCAGCATGTTCTGAAACATCCAGGGGCCCACACTGACTTTTTCACTGGGGCCCCAGCAACAACGAATCTGCTCCAGCATACATACAAAGTATGCGATTTATGTGATTTCACATTCTTTACTGGTCCTTAAAGAAAAACATGGAAGAATCCTGACACACCTATGCAGCGATGATATGACAGCGGAATTTGAGCGGTGTGTCAGTTTCCGGATTCGACACAGTCTTGGCTCACGGGTTGGTCGGTAACGGTCTCTTTGGATAGACGGTGATCCCTGGCGTCCACCTGAATGATCCGGTGTGAAGACGAGCCAGAGGCTAAGCTGAATGATAAGGTGATGGGAGCGGATTAAAACATGAACTGAAGCCCAAAACTTTCTGCCAAAGGGGAGTTTATAAGGCCGTCGTGAGGCTGCCATAAATCTGAGCCCCCGAGCCGGACTGGACCGAATTCTCTGTTTACCCTCCGTTGCTCGTTCGATCCAGTCATTCCTTTTTTCTCTGCGAAAGCAGTTTTAATTGCTTATATGTAGCAGGTCATTTTGCGGTTTGTAGCTTTCACTGCAACTGTGATCTCGCTACCGCAAACCTCAGTCTAGCTGGTCAGCAATTTATGCATGCATCTATAAGCATTACGGGTAATCTGATTTTGTCTGCATAATCCCTGCGCAAAAAAACATAATTCCCTTCTGAGTATTCTGTGCCATAACATGAGAAATCTGGGACTGTCAAAATAACATTAATATTTTGCATTCCTATGATTCACCTAGCTTCTATAGAAGAGTACTTGGGCAAAGAGATTCACCACTTCAGTGCAAATGCATTCAATTGTCACAATCTATACACTGCTTTCATAATAAATTGGAAACAGGAGAATCAATACTTTAGAGACCAAAACCCTGCAAGGAATTTTATTTTAATTGGTACTGAGGAATCCTTCCTAATGCTCTTTTCAGCACCACTTTGGTGTTGTAATATATAAAGACCTTTAGCACTGTTGAGGTTTTGAGACCAATGATTTTCCCCAGGTTTAAGTGGGTAATAATGCATTTGTCAATCAGCAGATCCAAAGCCAAGGATCAGATGGGTCATGCTGTTTACTAAGAGAACGCATCAACCGCACGGCTCAATTAACTTGACCTCTGGGTCAAAATGCGTCTGCATGCAGACAAATAGCTGATAAGATGTTAAGGTGTTCTAGCTGCTAATCTTCAAATCTGCCTGAGTGAACATCCGTTCTGTCACTGTTAGAAGCAAACCCACCGACTGATTACGAGAATACAGCATTGCGTGTGTGGTTTTATGCCATATAAACAGCCCTTGCTGTGGTTTGTGTCTCCAACAGATATTCACACTTTATGGAAATGCAGGTGTAAGCTTTTACGTTCGGATTTGGCTTTATTGCCAGTGAGTTTTCCATGTTGCGGGTCTGGTATTTAAGCCACACCCCTGACCAACGAAAAGGCAGGAATTTGCCACTTCGCTCTGAGCCGAGGTTTGCCATCACAATGAGCAAAGGCGGGCGCTGGACAGGCTGTGTCTCAAACAGTCTTACGCAGCATCCCAGAATGGGTCACGCGCTAGTATTTATAGTAAGTGGTATTTATAGTAATGCTTGTCTAAAAAGAGAAAGTTTTTTTTTTTTTTAAAGACAGTATGATGAATAATCATAAATGTTGCCATCAAGGAAATCCACAGCATTGGTGGAGCAAATTCAGAATCACACAAAAAAGTAAATTATGAATATAATTAAATAAAAGCCTACCTTTTATTTGCAGTCCCTCTGGACTTCCTTCCTGCTGCAAAGGAAAAATAAAAGTGAGTCACTCATGGTCAGTGGATTTCTTTTATATACTTCCAGTGTAACTGTAATGGTGCGAGGCTCTAATCTATAATAAAACCATTCATTTAACCAATAAAACCATCCAAAACTATTCATAATTTTTCAAGTGATCAAACGAGTTTTTATAACTGTATATTATATATTTATAATCCATTGTGATTCAAGCAATGCAGAATATAATACATATGTGATATACATATTTATGTATCATATATACAAATATATACATAATAACGTTCGCTACAACAATGTAGTATGTAGGAAGTCCAGTGTCCGGCACCGTGCATTTTTGCTGACATCCGAGAGAGAGGAATGCGTGCAGGGATGGTCCCATAGTGCAGAGGCTTGCATTAAGCTTGGATGACAAATTCGCTGGCCTACACCTGCTGGGAGCTGCTTCAGAATCACTTCTTCAGCAGGAAAACGCGATAGGAGGTGATGAATCAGTATAGACGTCTTTACAGAGGTACCACAGCGAACACGCTGCATAAAGCCAAAGGCTGTGCTGAGGGCTTGTTTATATCTAGGCATCATTTCTCATTTTTATTATGATTTGGTCGGGGACTAACCAATAATAGATGTCCCCCCCCTCTTCCAGAGGTCCTGATACATTTTGGGCTCCATTAAATTGGGCCCCCAACCCAGAGTACTCCAACTATGTTCCAAATTTTTTAGGGCCCCTGTGGCTTAAATTGTCTTTACTTTCCCTAATTAATAATAATAATAATAACCAATCCTTTAACGTCCCTGTGGGGAAATTCTTTTTACACCCAGAGAACTGGGGGGTTAGGGGCCTTGCTCAGGGACTGGCAGATATGCTGAGGTTGGGTTTGAACCAGTAACCTTGTGACTACACACAAAGGCTTAGCCCACTGAGCCACACACTTCCCATTACACCCCCCCCCCCAAAAAAAAGAAAAAAAACCCCAAAGGAGTGCAGGTAGCTGCAGTCAAACTCTGAAGTGTCATGTGACCCATATTCTGCTCCCTTTCCTACTCTTCTCGCAGCTTTCGACTGAAACCGTTAGCGTGTCGAAAGCTCATCCGAGCTCCAAATGTTCCCCTCTGAACTAACCTGACACGAAGCTAAAGACGGACGCGGGGAGCAGCGACTGACTGAAGGTTTTTTAAGTTCCAGCCATTCCGTGGCCCGATGCGTCAAAGCGAACCTGGAGATAGACGGAGAAGTTTCATCTGAGCAAAATAATAGAAAAATCTCTACTCTAGTGCGCTAGCTATAAATGTTATGCTAATAAGCAAAAGAAAAGGGGGAAAAAATGATATGGAACATGACAAAAATTATAAAGCAGTTCATCCTTCTATTTGTCAGTTTTAGCTGTAGAGACGGAGTGTCGGTTTACAGTGGTTCAATCCCCCCCCCCCCCCCCTGAGTTGAGACGACCTCAACGCGCTCTCGGGGGATTGGAGCACCCAGCTGCGTGACAGCCAATCATCTGCCTGATGACAGGACCTGACTGGCAGCTTCTATCTTCATCTTATCTACAAATCCCAGGGACCTCATTTCACTGAACCTCGCCTTCCAATCCGGAACTAGGAAAGCAGTCCGTCCATTTATCCCGTTTTAATCAGGCGTCACCTTGAATGCCAAGAGACACCCCCCCCCCCTTACCACTTTGATTTCCAGAACAATGGGAGCAGTCTTTGAGTGACAACATCAGGGAAGATGTCTGTGGAAGCCCCCCCGCTGAGGGCGGTATGATTTATTTCCCTGGGTAAATAAGTTTCCCAGGTGAGTACCGCTGTCGCGCTTCTGAATCACGCCGCAGAACAACATCTTCTCCAATCTACCAGGTTCTCTCAGGCTCCCTGCTTCCGTTCATTGTGTCAGGAGTTACGTCTGTGTCTTCCTCCCGCGTGGCTGTCAGGACCCTCGGACAAAGTAGCGTTTAGCGCGTTCGCCGCTCAAAGACGCCGCCGCCCCATGTCTTGTGTTGGTGCGTCAACCAGCACAATGAATTCTTTACGATCCTCGCTAAAAAATAAAAACAGCACTCCAGTTGTGTCTGTACGGGCAGCTATGGGAAGGCGGACGACTACTGGCGTTGAAAATAACTCCCACTACATATTTTCAACAATAAATATAATAAATCATTATCACGATGATGCTTTATTTGCCATTTACACAAGAACGAGTACATTTGAATGCTTCTTTTTAATATACTGCATTCCTTTGAGATTTACACACACATAATATACAGTTAATGGGTGAAGCCTGAGGTCAGGCCATTTATCCAGTGCAGAGGTGGGTAGTCCAGGTCCAGAATGTAAAAATCCAGACCAAGATTTTGTTTCAACCAACCAGTTGGGTACTGTGACTGTGAACTGGTTGGTTGAAACAAAATCTTGGTCTGGGTTTTTACTTTATGGACCAGAACTTTCCACTTCTGGTCTTGATTACCTAGAGCAGGGGTCTCCAACTCCGGTCCTGGAGAGCTACTATCCAGTAGGATTTCTGTCCCACTTGGCTTCTGATGAGCCACACCTGTTCCTGGTATTTACCTGAGAACAGGTGTGGCTCATCAGAAGCCAAGTGGGACAGAAATCCTACTGGATAGTAGCTCTCCAGGACCGGAGTTGGAGACCCCTGACCTAGAGCATTAACCTAGAGAGGTTAAGGGCCTTGCTTAAGGGCTCGAACTGTTAACTTTCTGGTCACAAGCACAGTGGCAAATTATGAGCAGCATTTGCTCATAATTTAAGGTCATGAATGTGAGCCTGCACCCTGTGATGGACCGGTGCCCCATCCACAGTCTTCCCCACCCTCCTGCATGCTGCCTGGAATAGATCCCAGCCCCCACCTGCCCATACTCCTAACCTTGACTGGAATAAATGACTGGAAACAAAGTACGAGTCTTATCCATACATTTTGTGTATTTAACCAGTAGCGATGCATTGTCTAATGTAGTCAGCATGAAAAAACAACAACAACAAACCACCTGCTTAAACTGATCGAGTGCAACGGAGGTCTTAATCAGAGCTGAGGCCAATGCCGCCTCTTTGGCGGGTCTTGGGAGATTCTCTGGCTGACAATCCTCTTCGGTTGTCATCGCCTGCGATGTACGCCTCATCGAAGCGCGCCCAGTGTCTTCACAGCTGCACCTCACTGCCTCCAGCCCTGTAGCACTGGACCCACAGACAGATGCTGCCGTGCAGAGTAAGCATTTTGCATGCAGGGCTGAGCGCACGGTGCATGAGGCTCATATTTCTTCCCTTGTGCTTCATGGGCATTCAGGCTCTTGTTTCGTCGAAAAGTAAACCTCGTTTCTCCACACTCTCAGCATCTCCACTTCCCCTCCATTCCATGTGTCTGCAGCTTCTGGCACTTGTGATTACTCGCCATGTACGGTCAATGATATCTCCTGTGGCTTTTAACATCTAATGCTAGACTTTGTCACTGGCATGACTGTATTTGTACCTATCGCAGAAATACTAACCAGGGGCACGTTTTCCAAATGGTCCCGATAGCAACTTACATAGTTGGAATCACTGAGTTGTATGTTGTATGTTAGCAACTATGCTTTTGGGAAACATATCCCAGGATTTGCATAGTTAATACAAAAGTCTGTGGTCTCTGAGTTTTATAAACAATTCAAGAAATGGCTAGCTGTCACTTAATACATTCATGGAACTTATTTTGAATACTAGGAGACCTAGATGGGGTGTATTCCACAAAGCAAGATTTCCCAGTTAGCTGGATAACTTAAGCTAAACATGCAAGCTGTCCAATAGGAGGCGAGATCAGTGACATTCCTATTACACAATCCTTACATTTGGCTTAAGTTATCTGGCTAACGAAAAAATCCAGTTTTAGAAATATCCCCTCACTTTAATTCCAGTCGTTTGTTTTCATCAAGGATGAGCTACAACGCCAAATTCATTTCATTTCACCCAGCACTTTCATCCAAAGCATTACACGATCATTACAATTTATGTGCACTCTCTGGAATTCAGACCCATGACCTTTGCGTTGTTAGCATAACGGTCTATGTGTTGAGCTACAGGACCTCCCCACAGTGAAATTGGATAATAAAGTGAGACACAGTCCCTATCCTACGATCAACATGTTTCATATTCCTTTAATTAGTATTGGATTGTCATAAATTAATGTTCACCTAAAAAAGCTGAAAGCCGTACAATGGATGCTTGTTTAATATTCAAAGGCAGCACTTAAAATGACTGTTTATTGGCTGACTACACAAGGAATTAAAGGTGACCTCAGTATATTAATGTGCGGCCTGTCGAGTCTTTCCACTGGCTGGCTGCAGAGCAGTACACTTAAACCTCATTTGTCTTCATCAGGAGTCCACAAGACTAGGATTCATTTTAGCTTCACAAAGTAAGCTAAAAAATGCTCAACACCTAAGCTCCAGGATTCAAAGGCGATGTACCTGGAAGGTATAAATGACTCACGCAGCCTCAGAAAAGACTACAAGCCAGTCTGAGGGGTGGATGGAAACGTGCTTTAATGAGAACAACCCTGTTGCTTAACTCAGTTTGACTGAAAAGCTATTTGGAAAATTAGATTTTCTCAACAATATCTTGGAAGGACAATGGCCTCAACTCCTAACGGCATTCCCTCTGCAAATGTCGAATAGATAATTCATCAAAGGTGTTTTCCCAATAAAGCCGTCTTAATTAAAGCATCGTTCCTTTTTGCCTTTAATTTTTCTACCAGCCCGACGTGAATTTCTCATTTGGTGTGAAAAATCTTTGCCTGATGTGCTTGCGTAGGTTTATTACACACCATCTGTCTCACTTTGTGATGTAAATACACTCAGTGTTGGAGTTAATGTCGCTGCCGTGGTTACATCTGCAAATCATGTATCTACAACTGGGAGTTGTGTCAGGTATCAGTAGTGGTGCTATGGTGCTGTCACTGGTTCTGGAGGACTTGCCAGGCTTTTAGCCAAAGCACTTGCTCAGTGTCCGAGATCCCTCAGCAGCGTTGCCAACTTTGGTCAGCAGGCTGGGCCCGAGATTTTCAATTCCAGAACAAGTCCGCACACACGTGCACGCGCATTTACACGTACGCCACAGTTTTATTACCTTGTAAATAGTCTGTAGGGATTGTGAACTATCCACCGCTTTTGATGTAGCTAATTTTAGGTTTATAATGGAATAATATAGATTCGATATGTTTTCTTGCGTGCACGAGAGAGCCTGAAAGCGTGAATGTCACGCCAGATGCGGGAAAGTTGAGAACCTTGTCACATTCCCATAAAGCTTTTCGTTTCCCTGATTTCAGTAGCTGTGTCTGGCTGTCTAATCGCTCTTTTTGTCTTATAGAACAGTCCTTTCAGAAAATGGGCTTCATTACCCCTGCTTTATGTTCCTTTGATTTACAAAAACATCGCTGGCACCCTGATTAAGTTTCCGAGCTGCTCCGGGAGTTTGGGCAAAGCGCGGCCCCCTGACGTCCAAGTATTTAACAGCGTTACATTACAACGGCAGCTGCTTCCGATCCACTTTGCATGCAAGCGCGGCTCCCCGACCGCATTAACCTTGGTCCCTTGTGTGCCGCGTCCATCCGATTCTGGGCACGGCGCTCGGGTCGGCAGAGGCGCAGACGGGGATGCGAGCAGAAGCGGAGCCGCTTTACTCCGTAACAATTATCGGTGTTATTTGTAAACCGAATTCCCCTCGCGCTCGGGACAGCCGCGGAGGAGCTCGGAACGGGGGTGGGGTGGGTGAGGGGGGGGTGCAATCGATACCTTATGCCGGAGCCTCACTAGTGGCTGGTTGCCTTTCAACCCATATCCGTCTTCGCTTGGTCTCCCCTTGGTGCCCAGAAACAAGACTCCCAGCAAAGACAGCGCTCTCCACCATACGTGTGCCCTCATTGGCATTTCCCTGCAAATAAAAGAGCAAATGGTAAATCATTAGATATTGTTCGGGCGACCACACACTGGCAAACATCATCTCTAAACAGTGTCGTGTCCGTAAGTTAATGACGCCCATTGCAACTGCAGCCTATCAGGCTGGCGTTAAAGCTAATGATTTCAATAACACTGGGAGAGAATTGCGTTGAAAATCCGTTTAAATCGAATACGTGGCGTCATAGAACAAAAGCAGCAATGTAAACAACAACAGCAAATAATTTGCTTTGTGTGAAATAACATCGTAATTTAGCCCATGAGGGCTATTATGTTCTCAGAGTGTGTAACAGCCCTGGACCGCTTCAAAATCATCATCAGTGCCCTCTAATCACTTTATCTGGAGTGTTTTTGGCCTGTAGGAAATAAAAAAAATGCACAACCCATTTCAATGTAATGCTGCACCAACTGGCTAAATTAAATAAGACTGGTAAGAATCCATAAAAGCGGAATGCTGTAAAACTCCAGCTACCGCTTAATTATTGTGGGTAACTATCCCTTTCCAATTACCACAATGAAGACTGACGAATGTAATGTCACTGACTGCCTACAATGTTTTCGAAAGCGTAACAGTAAACGCAAACAGAATTGAGACATATCAAGTCGCGTAAGTTTCCAGTTTCTGTTTCTGAGGGCGGTTTTTGTCCCTATAAGCTCCCGGTATTTTTCCTTGTGCCTGTCACTTGTAGAGCTTTCACCTTGCACTTCCTGTGGTGTAGAATCACGGCATGGTGCCTTCCCCGAGCTACCAGCAGGGGTCAAGGTCACATGCTAATAATCTATGGCTTCAGAATACAGCTCAAAGCTCTCTATGTCACCACTGGCAGACGAGGCAGCTGTCATGCACTCCTGGGTCTTACCTCCTTCGCCAGTCTTTGTTTCTAGTCTATATTTTGTCATGTAATACTATATCATGTCATTATCACCTTCCATCTTTCACACATCATCTGTATAGATTGTGCTTTAGTATTTGTGCACTCACCTCAAATATGATGTAAAAAATAGTATTAAAGACGTCCATTCTCTTTCAATGCATAATAAATTGTGAATATACTTATTATTAATAGATACATAAAGCCAAATTCAGTGCTAGATTCTGAAACCATTGCTGGTCATTGCATATGAAACATCTACTGTAAAATATTCCTCTTTCAAATCATATTTTTCTAATTGCTATCTTTTGTGTCTATCTTGAGGGGAAAATCTGAATAGTCAAAACCAAAACAATCATGGCTCCGTTTTAAAGTAGTACTGCTCATTTTGTTAGAATTCTAATTTTATTTTAATGTGAAAATGCACTTCAAGGATGTGCATTACTAAGGAATAACATCTGATGGAATAAAAAAAAAACTAACAAAAACAATGAAATAGTGTGATTAGGCTGATACAATTCAATTTCCATTTTCTTTTTTTGCATGAATATTAAGTAGTATGAAAATAGTATGCACCTTTACAGCTTCTGTATGACATATTTGGGTATACGTTACAAATGACCAGTGTCACACTGGTATAAGTTATAGTTTAATTACAACATTATATGTGTAAAGGAAAAACTTTGAACAATGAAACACTGCTCTTTTAATGCATCTTCAAGATACAGTCCAGGGACTGGATATGATTAGTGCATCAATATTCATTTGGTTTTTTTGCCTCTAGTTGTAACGATTGAGCAGGGAGTGTACAGTGACATATACCTCATGTGAAGCTTGATTGATTACAGCAGCAACAACAATAACAGTGATAGAATAATAACAAAAAGAGCCACAATAATAATAACGGTAAGACTTAGTGATACACTCTCTGGCTGTTGCCTTTTGTTTTGTCTATTGTTTATTGTATATTGATACAATATATTGATATCAATATTGTATATTGATAGCTGTACCATCACAGAATGTCACCGTCTCCGTCACAATCCCAGGGGACCACAGAACGCGGTTACATCCTTCTCAAGGTCCGCTGCCCGTCAAGAGCTGCCTTCCGTCTGTTTCAGCTACTCAGTCGCTTACAGGCCGTAATCAGGGACGATAATGATTTATGGCCGTTAACGGCAGAGCCCGTGGTCAACGCAGCCCCTCCATCTTCCCAAAATGCATTTGTTAATAAAATATGAGCTTGTCAGCAATACCCACTATAGCTAGTCATATGCACGTAATAGATTTATGGATTGAGAATATATAATGAATATTATGGATTATAGGAAGAGTATATTTACATTGTAACGTGACATGTTAGCTGTATCTCATAATATACAGTAATTACCTATGTGTTAGGCTGTGCTGAATTACACCGATAGTGACACGAAAATGGGCAAATGTCTCGAGCTACATGTTTAACTGTCAAAAGTGCTGCATGATTTTTTTTTCCCCCCTGTTTTTTTCAGTGCCGTAGGGATGATTGAGACTTTGAAGAGCCTGTCTGCGTGGGCAGATGCAGTTAGTATCTGAATGCACTAGACTAACATATCTGACTGTGCAAGGAAGGTCCTGAAGCCCACAGTTAGTGGAAAGTACCATGCACTGTCAGTCACGGCTGAGTTTAACCCCAACGGAACCAAAGACTGGTAACAGCAGCCAGTGATTGACAACCCCAATACTCTCGTTATTACCTGACTTGGTAGGTGAAAAAAACGCACAACCCTACTGTATACTGTGTTCGATCGAGAAAAAACAGACTGCACCTCCTGAAAATTTCTTTGGCATTTTAAACTTTTTGCCCACAAAAATACGCCCATATCTAAACATTTCCTCCTATCTGGCCTATTCTGTTCTCATTGTTACCATAGCCCGGGCAACATCTTCTACTTTGAAAGAACTCGCTGTCATTTCTTGCATAATTATCCAAGATGCTATTTCTTTCTTCTTCTTTCAGACCCTCCACGTTTCATAATGATGGTTTGCGTCGTTCCAAAATAGCTCAGGTTTGAATAAACTGCATACGTCACAAAATATAGAGTTGAGGCCCATAAAGTACATAACACACGTAGACTGCAGAAAAGAAATGCCACATCGCCACAATTTCTGTTTACCTTCCCTTTACAAGCCATATTTTCTCCCCACACGAGCCATTGTCGACACGTCTAATTTTGTTCGGTTAGAATAACATTGGTCAAAACACACTACAGTAGAGACTTCATTTAACATTGCGTTAAAACTAAGCAGCCCTCAAGTAAATGGCAGAACTGATTGCGGCACTATGATTAAACTTGAGTCTCAGTGGGGAACCAGCCATTGTGCCTCAATTGCCTGGCAGACAACCTTTTAAGAGCGACTTCTGCTTAGTCAAAGTCCCATCGCTACGTAAAATAGACGGTGTCCTGATGAATCGCTTATAAGTAATGATACAACTGGGCCAACGAATCCGATTCCCATCCCATAGATTCAAATCAGATTTTCCATTTTCAGACTTTACTTCGGGGAACTACCGCTATCCATATACGCGAGTAAATGAGTCATTTACAGAAGCTCAAATATCCCAGATTCATCGCCAACTGACAGCGCGATAGCTGTAGATTCCATGAATCCCCTTCCCGACCCATTTTTCATGAACCAGGTAGTGGTGAGCACTGGTGCTCCCAAATGCTCTCTCTTTGCAAATACAGTCAGACCTTCGGACAGGTTAGGTTCCGGAACCCATCGTGAATGAGGAGGATTCATGGATGTTTGGTAGTCACTAAAAATGGTAATATGTGCTTATTTCTATAGTTTAAACCCTAAATATGACCCCAGTCATGCTCCCAAAACACTTTAATTTCATTTAAAAGTTAGCTTAATACATTACCTTTAAAAAAGACAAATGTTTGATGTAAAAATAGAGTTCAGTATCGCCTAATGGATGTCATACTCGCACATTTACAGTACAGTATATAATGTTACCCCTACTAATTCATAGAACACGGCATTGGCTGCCGTTTTCTTTTGCATTCACAGTAAGGTAAAATGAGTAAATGAACGGGACTGTAAACTTATTGACAAAAGTCATATACGTAACCAAGGTACAATTCAATAAAACACTTAAAGGAAACACGTACATGTAATTTCTGCGGATCTGTGAATACGCGAATCACGAAGCGCGAATGCACGAGGGCTGACTGTAGAGCAGGGGTCACCAACATGGTGCCCGCGGGCACCACGATGCCCCAAACGACCACATGAGTTGCCCACAGACCTGTTCTAAAAATAGCACAACTCACCAGTGAGCAGCGTCTAAAATTTAATTTTATCCTGTTGCTATTCTTCTTTAAATCACATTTGCATTTATATAGATTTGAAAATGACCATGTCTAAAAAAATGCATTTAAAACATGTTTATTATACATGAAGTTTGGATAAGTTTAGGAGGGCGTTTCAAACTGGTAGCCCTTCGTATGGCTCAGTACCCGAGAAGTAGCTCTCAGTTTCAAAAAGGTTGGTGACCCCTGATATACAGGCTTCTTGCAAAATAGAGATGTCTGGTGTTTAGATATGCAGTAATTGTTTATGACCTCATAGCAACACAAATTCACAAGAAGTGGCCTGAATGGAAAACAAAAAAAAAACACCCATAATGATCAATATGAGCCCTGAAAATTTTCTGTTTTGTATAGAAGCAACACCCCCCCCCCCCAAACCATGCTAAATATTCAAGCCAAAAACATTGTTTTGATATGAGGTTTTAGTAACTGGTAGATACTCAATTCAAAAGCAGGTATTTCAGCGAGGAGGAGATTAAGTGTGTCCAATGTTCATCCTGGTCACATGACCTAAATCCAGAGGGCCATGTGTGCCAGTTAAAAGGATGATAGTCAGACATGAGACAAATCTGACTGAGAGAACAGAAACAGATATCTGCCTCGCATTATGAAGGATGGCAAGTGTAAAATATCAACCTGGCAGTGTTAGACTACAAAAAATATGGGTTGTATTTTCCCTTGATGTCTTGCTCTCAGAATACAAGGTAGAATGATTACTTTAGTGTATTGTAAATACAGATAATTTT